CCTTTCCAGAAGCACCTTCCAAGGTGACTGTTTGTTCTTCATTAACTTTTGTTTCAATGTGTTTTTCATGTGTTACAGCACTTCTAACCAATTCTTCATTTTGAGATGTAATCTGCTCATTTGTGTCCATTCCTAAAGCAACTTCCACGTAAACCGCATTTCTTTTCTGAACTTCTATCTCAAAGTGGTTTTCTTGTGTTGCACTTTTACTAGCCAACTCCTCACTTTGGGATGTCAGCTGCTGCTCTGTACTAATTTCTGAAGAATCTTCTAAGTTGACCATCTGTGCTTCTTGAACTTCTGCTTCAACATGCTTTTCCTGTGTTACATTATTACTAACCAACTCTTCACTTTGAGATGAAGTCAGATGCTCATTTGTATCCATTCCTGAAGCACATTCTAGGATGATTACTTGCCCTTGTTTAACTTCTGGATGAATGTCTTTTTTCTGTGTTACCCCATTACTAGCCAGTTCTTCACTTTGACACTTAATATTTTGTTCTCTCAACTGAGCAGAATGTGAAAGTACACTAGTACTGTCTGTTTCTTGAAAGACTTGATTAGTTAATTGACTAATAACTGTTTCTTTTGAGACTTCTAGTACCTTTGAACACAAATCACTCATTGACACAGTAGCAAGTGATTTATCATTAAGATTACAATTATCTGAATCCATAAGTGTTCTCAATGAATTTAACTGCAACTTGTCAATGCTCCTCTTTGTCCCCGATCCTTTGCTTTCTGTGAAACTAAATGAAACTTCAGATACTCCTTCTGTGATAACTTGAGAAAATTGCTTATCATTTGAACTTACAGCTAACATTTCTTTGGCTTCAGTGTCTACTTTATAACTTCTATCATTACTTACTGTTTCATTATTAACATCTGTTTCATTACAAAGCACTGGTTTTATAGAAGGTTTGTTTCTGTCAGATGGGGGAATTTGTTCAGAATGCATTACAATAGGATTAAAAAATTTTTGGTTAACAACCTTTTCTTTTTCCGAAACATTTAAACTTTTATTTTTATTATGTTTCTCAAGTGTGAATGAATAATTTTCAGAACTTGTTTCCAGATATTTATATTCAGTACCTAACTCACTATCTTCAATAAGCTCATTATTCAAATTGTGCGGAGGAAACTCTACATTCACTTCTTTTTCCTCATCTGAATGTTCTGCTTCAAATAGCTTCTCTGCTTGTGAAATCCCTCTCTTTTTATGTACTTTGTGGTACTTTTCAACCTCTTTGTTAAGGTTATCAACAATCTTTACAGCTATTTCTCTAGCAGCTTCTTTTTCATGACATGAGGGAATTCTCTCAGCTTTTTCATGTACATCTGGAATGCCACTTGATACATCTGTTGTTGAAATATGGTGTACTTCTTGCTTTCTCTTAGGTTTTTCTTCTTTACTTTCTTTATGTTTTTTCTTTTGTTTCATTCCTAACCAAATAATTGACAAAATAGCAATTACTGCTGGGATGGAACAAACAACAATGGTACGTGATGATAGCCCGGCCATTTGTTTTCTTTGATCGAGCTAGTTCACCCAAATCTGAATATACAGTGCCCTGAAAAATTGTACACATTAAAAAAAATTAGATAAACAGATAAAATATTCCATTTCTTCATTTTCTAAATATTTTTTTGTAGTATTATAAAATAGCCACAGTCAGAGAAAATAAAGAAACAAATGAGAAAATAAAAACTAGAAATAACAAACTGATAAAGAAATCCACATACAATGGTCAAGAAGGAATGCACAAACAGCTCCAACTAGTTTGGAAAAATTCACTAGAATGAACTTTACAACTTTTATTGAAAAACAACTCCTTTACCATGATGTTACATAAATGTTTACAAAAGCATCACTTAGCAACAATACTACCGCTATCAAATTAACATTTACAAAAAAACATAAATAAAAAAAATTAATAATTTAGAAATAAAACTGAAGAAATTATTTATATAAATTATTTTTACATGAAGAAATTGCCTAATTTCCTTTGTGTTAAAATATTCCTATGTCAATGGTCTTAAAAAATTATCACAACAATTTCTACCTTTGTACTTTTTATCAAACCACTTGTTGAACTGTTGTCTCTTCAATTCAGGAAAACAGACTTTCAGAAATTGCATGATGTGATTAGAAAGAAAAACTGTATGACAAAATGCAAATAGAAGGAAATATGTGCCTTCTAAAATCATTTCCTAAATGGTTCGAAAGGACAATAAAATTATTAAGTATTACACTTAAAGTTACCAGTAATATAAAAACCTACTGGAAGATGAAAGGTGCTCACGATTACTAAAATAAAAAGATTTAAAATGTTATCTCAAAGCAAAAAAGACACCAATAATTTGCTTAACTCAAAACTTAAAATCTAACTTGTGGGGATTTTTATCCTTAGATTAACTGTAAAAACTGAGTTACAGATAAAACTGTACTATTAAGAGATTCAAAAAGGAACCTCATTAAAGTAGAAAAATATCACTTATTATTTTTTAATGTAGATTTTACTCCTACAGAAAAATGCCTAACTTGAAATTTCTATTTCAAGACAGGGGAGAGCTTTTTTAAAATTCAGCTATTGTTGAAGAGAAAGCTGTCTTGAAAAAGCTTAAGGAACTTGCAAGATCAAATTCCTAGCTTTAATGAGATTTATCCCAAAATTTGAAGAATCTGAGCAGGTATTCAGTGAGATCTCTCATATGTTAACAATGGGAAATTTTGTGATAAATGTTAAATTTCTAATTCTCCCCCTTCTTTCAAAAGAAAAAATGGATGGGGTCAATGGAAAACCCTTAATATTATAGGCTTGTTAGTTCTGCGTGTCTTTTGCAAAGTTTGATATGTCAGCATTTCACAGAAAATACTCTGTATCAGCAAGTTGAAAGTTTTTCAAATGGTTTCTGCATTTTTTGGAAATATCTCTGTCAATTACTGCTTACCTTGATTTACAGAAAACCTATGATAAGGTGCCACACATTAAATTAAGTTAAAGGTTGGATTCTTCATGGACTGATGAAAAACAAAAAGATGGACAGAAAATTCATGTGATGGTATAAAATAAATGGTAGCCTAATGATAGATAGGCGTTTTCTGATTTGAAAAATATGACTAGCAGAGTATGGAATATATGATGAAAAACATTATGTAGTTAACAATATGTGGAATAGTTTGTCTGAAAATTTAATTGATTCTATTAATTTGAATTTATTTATACTTTTGATGGATAAGTCTGTGGATGTTAAACAATCAATTAGACTAGTTTGGTTGCTTTGGTGTAAGGATTGACCTCCTCAGGCTTTTGGATTTTTGTCAATTTTATATGATTATTTCTCATGTGACATCGTTTAAACTTTAACTTTTAAATTTAAGTTGTAACAAAGTTCATACACATATATCCTTTTTTATATTTCTAACAGCTTAATTAATTTTGAAAAATAGATATTCATAAAGTTCTATAAAATTAAAAGACAATTTATTTATTTTTTTGACAGGCTACAGTGCAAATTTTAACGTTAGATCATTCTCACAGATACTTAAGTAGGCCTACTGACACATACATTTACAATTACACTGTCACGGTATCGTTCGAGTAGACTCGGTAAATGTATTCTAATTATTCTGTAATTACGAGTTTTAGTTTTGTGCCATGTAACCATGAAATATTAAATTATTGGATTTTTATTAATCATATTTACAGTTTTAAATTCTGTACAAGCAAGTGCATCCACGTTCAACATAAAGAATATATTATTTTTTACTTAAGTCTGAAATATGTGCATAACCTTACATAGACTATTTGTTATATAACCCTATTCATGATTACGCCTAACGTAAAATAACTACCGGTGCACCGCCTTTGACTTCTCTCTCAACTCGGTAAACTTAATTCTCAATATGGTTGATGTGCGTTTATCCACTGTTACCGGTAACAAATCAGGAGATAGAAACGACAATACCGTAATAACAAACTCACCTATATCTGCTTTAAATCTTCTTAACCAATCAGCATTTATGCCACAAGGATTTTCTTATTAAATAAACCTAATGCTAAACCTATCACAATTGCGCTAAATGTATATTTTACAATTTTCCCACGTGGCCACACTTTTTCCATGACCGTTTTTCAGACCTTCGTACACTGCAGTCCGAAAGGGAGAATAATAAGGAAAAATTGCAGAGTGTGTTGCAACGGCAAAGCGTAAGATATAGAAAAAATATTTGAGAAATGATGAAGAAAAGAAATAAATATAATATATACATATATTTCAGTATATTTTAATGGTTAAATAAATAACTCACGAATTATGCATCAAACGTTCGTATAACAAATTTAATATGTTGTACCTGTCAATAATTTCAGATTCACTACATCTGGGTTCAAGATCTTCAATTGCCGATAAAATATCACTTGAAAAGTTCACCTCAGTGGTTTCATAAGCAATATAAATATGCATACAGACACTTCAAAACGTGAAATAAATCTACATACAGCACATGACATAACCTCTCATAACTTATAAACAACAAAGGATCATATGGTTCTTCAATGGTCTCCTTTGATATGAGGAATATATGTTTTCCACCATCTTTAGTAATTAAGACATTTTTTTAATTTTTCGTTTTGTATATTTATCTCCGCTTTTGTCATAACACGTGGTCTAGATAATCCTTTGAATTTGCTTAGTCGTACTTGCTTTTGTGCCTTTGTTCTCAAAGGAGGTAATATTTACTTTGATCTCGAAAATGTGTGTGTGTGTGTGTTTGGTATAGTAAAGTTACATGGAGCTATCTGCTGTGTCCACTGAGGGGAATCGACGTCCTGATTTTGGCGTTGTAAATCCGAAGACTTGCCGCTTGTCTCACCAGGGGACATAGAATATGCAGATACGTCCTTTCACTGGTTGAGTGGATATGTCTCTATGTTTCATATGAGAAATGTTGTGAAAAAAATGTCCAATCACGTGGTGACGCCATCGTAAGAAAAAGAAAACGGGTTTCTTACTGGATCAGAATGTTAGTTTTGCTCAATTCTACTTTGCTTACACAGTGACTAGTTCTGTAAAGATTCATCTTTAGAAAAGAATAGCTGAAGTTCTATTCACCAATCCATGCAGTAGTGATAAATGTCTAATTATCAACAAAGTTCATGTATTGTTTCTTTTGTTTTTCTTTTGCTGTGTTTGCAATAGAGATTGTTTCACTTAACATCACACTTGTACAGTTTCCTTGTTTTCGCGTAACTTAAAATTCAGTTTGGTTTTTCAAATTAAGATTACTTAAGATTACAAACTTTGTATTCAATCTTCCCATTATTGAGCGGACATATTTGAAACTTGCACGTACGGAAATTGGTTTATCTGAGAATACCACAAGTAGATAGGAAGGAGAAATTTTGATGCCGTAACTACAAGATTCATTGTAGAGTCTCTGTTTCTGTTAATGTGCAAGATGGCTCTTGCTTGATCTCATGTATTGATAAGAGCTTAAAGTAATACCTTTATAGGAAGTGTGGCTTATTCTAGATGTATTTGTTTGTAATTAAGCATAAAGCTACACAATAGGCTATCTGTGCTCTGCCCACCACGGGTATCGAAACCCAGTTTCTAGCATTGAAAGTCTTTTTAACATATGAGTTTTGCCTATGCTGTGAAAGTCCATTGCTTCGATCAGCATACAGCCGCAGACTCAGGATGATATATTGAAATCTGGAGCACCCATACCAGTAAATCCAACTTTGCCCCTGAAAATTTATCTCAGTGCGAGGAAAGTGGGAACATTTCATAGCTATGTCGAGTATGAGACCACTTGGGGAATATATCAATGTCTATAACAGAACATCCTCTTAAAATGCTAGGCAAATATTGTGTACAATTAAGAATATGAAATTTGGAACTTGAACTCTCATTTTACATCTTTAAGCAGATAGATTTAGAAACAGATGGTATTTTAGGGCAAGACTTCTTACGAGAATACGACACTGAAATATTTCTTATTAAATATAAGCTGTACATAGAAATGGAGAGCTTAAGTTTTGAAGGCGTTGTACCTTCAGACTTATGTACTAAAGCTATGACAACTGATACCTTCTTGCCGACAAAAGCTAATAGTCAGATGCCGAATGCTAGCATTAGCTAGGCTAAGGGTCAACCGTCAATCCACTAAAGTAATGATACTCCTAAATGTAGTGATACGTGACAGAGTCGGAATGGTAAGAATACGAAGTAATTAAAGAGAAATCAAGTGAAAGAAAATCCATAAACCTAGCAAATACATTAGTAGTAACAGTAACAATAATTCCGAGAATGCTAAGAAGAAAGTAAGTGGAATTAAAGTAAAGCAAAGTAGCATTAGGAAACTAAAGCAGAGTAACAGTAAGTCAGAACCCTCAGGTGACTCTACACTTATGCATGACGTAAGCGACAGAGCATCACAACAGGAAAATCTGATAGAAATAGTACTTGTAAAATTAGTTAAAGTAACAGAAGTGCCCGCGAGAAGTCAATTTATTATTGATGCTATAGTAGAACATTTTAAGCAAAATGAAGATGTATTAATTGAGCCTGTTGAAATAGAAGAAGCAAGAGTTTACGTAGCTGCTTGTATCAGTAAGGTGTCTGAGAGAGGCACTATACCAATTAAAGTATTAAAAATAAGTAAGGAAAAAATGATACTACCTAAACACATTGTGGTAGGTAAAGCTATCAGCAGAGAGAAAACAGCCACTGTAGAACAGCATAACAGATAACTTAACCAAAAACAGACATTACACAGTGAAATAGATTCGAAGGCTATCTTAGGAGATGTACAAGAGAAATATAAACAGAAGTTAATTAGGTTGCTAAATTAATATAGAAATATATTCGTAGCGAAAAGGTGATTCTAATGGATGGATAAATATGGTTAAACATAAGATAGCATTAAGTGACAATAAACCTATAGCATAAAGACCATATAGAGTGCCAGAGAAGCACAGGGTAGAACTAAAGGAATGTGTAATGGAAATACTTGAACAAGTTGGAATAAAAGATAATAGAAGTCCATATGCTTCTCCAGTTTTAGTTCCAAAGAAGTATGGTCGTTTAAGGACCTGTGTGGACTTTAGAAAGGTGAACAGTGTAACAGTCAAAAACATCTTTCCATTACATAATATCTAGGAGATGCTTGATAGGTTAGGTAAAAGTAATTATTTTTGTCCTTGAACTTACAAAGTGGATATTGGCAAGTAGAGATCGAAGAAGAAGACAAAGCTAAAGCTGCATTTGTACAGCCTTCAGGTAAGTACCAGTTTAATAGATGCCATTTGGTTTATGTAATGCTCCTTCAACATTCTAGAGATTAATGGATGTTGTACTATCTGATTTACAAATTTCAGAATGCTTTTGTTACTTAGATGATGTCATAGCTTTTCCGCGAGTTTTGAAGAACATTTAGAAATATTAAGACATGTCTTTGACAGGTTATGCCTAGCAAATTTAATTCTAAATCCTAGTAAATGCTAGTTTCTACGAAAAGAAGTAGGACATTTAGATCACATGGTAACCGCGGAAGGTATAAAACCTGACCCAAAGAAACTAGAAGTTTGTAAAACTTATTCAGTACCAAAAACAGTAAAAAATATCCATGCATTTCTTGGATTCATAGGATTTTATAGAAGATTTTTTCCACATTTTGCGAGTCTAGCAAGACCCTCAATGGAATTAACTAAGAAAGATGTAACATTTCTATGGACAGATAAAAGACAAGAAGCATTTGAAACACTACGAGACTCACTATTAAAGGCATCAATTTTAAGCTACCCAGACTTTAGTGAAACATTCATCAGGTTTTGCTATAGGTGCAGTTTTGTCACAATTAGACAAAAACAAAAAGGAACACCCTATAGCTTGTCAGAGTAGACAGCTAAGGAAAGCTGAAATGAATTACTCCATAACCAAACAAGAATGCTTAGCTGTATTACATGGTATTAAAACCTTCAGATGTTACTTGTATGGTAGAAAATTTACCATTATCAAAGATCATGCATCCTTGAGATGGCTAATGACATTAAAGGACCCATTGTCTAGATTTGATAGAGAGCAATTACTGCTGCAAAATTATGATTTCGAAGTTGTACATAAACTAGGTAGAAAACATTTGAATGTAGACACCTTAAATAGAATAAAAATTGAAAACATAGAAGACAATGAAAAACAAGCAATTAATAACATTTCAGAATTAAAATCAGAAACTGATGATAATTATGAAGTATTCTGGGATTTAGGTCATATAATCGTGAACAGAAGAAAGATAAGATGGGGAATGCCATCAGAAATAAAGTGTTACAGGGAGAAGGTACAGAGTCCATGTTAGATAATCTAGTGCAATGCAGAAAAGGAGCAGGTAAATGGCATATGGATAATACATTACATAT